AAAGAAAGAAAGAAAGAAAGAAAGAAAGAAAGAAAGAAAGGGAAAGGAAAGGAAAGGAAAGGAAAGGAAAGGAAAGGGAAGGGAAGGGAAGGGAAGGGAAGGGAAGGGAAGGGAAGGAAGGAAGGAAGGAAGGAAGGAAGGAAGGAAGGAAGGAAGGAAGGAAGGAAGCAAGCGGTTGGGTGGGTGGATCAGGAAGTAAGGAAGGCAGAAAGAAAGGAAGAAAGAAAGGGAAGGAAGGAAGGAAGGAAAAGAGACAGGAAGGAAGGCAGAAAGAAAGAGGGAAGGAAGGAAGAAAAAGGAGAAAGAAGGTGGGTGGGTCAGAAAGTAAGGAAGGCAGAAGAAAGAGGGAAGGAAGGAAGGAAGGAAGGAAGGAAGGAAGGAAGGGAGGGAGGGAGGGAGGGAGACAGACAGGAAATAAGGTAGAAAGAAAGGGAAGGAAGGAAGGAAAAGAGACAGGAAGGAAGGCAGAAAGAAAGAGGGAAGGAAGGAAGAAAAAGGAGAAAGAAGGTGGGTGGGTCAGAAAGTAAGGAAGGCAGAAAAAAGAGGGAAGGAAGGAAGGGAAGGAGGGAGACAGGAAGGAAGGTAGAAAGAAAGGGAAGGAAGGAAGGAAGGAAAGGAGACAGAAAGGAAGGCAGAAACAAAAAGAGGGAAGAAAGAAAGAATCGGAAAGAAGGAAGGAGATGAGACAAAGAAGCACTTCAAAGAAATGAAGTGGTCACCTCTAGCATGAGGCAATGGCTTGACTTCATTCACATCCGGTTCGCTATTCGGCCGATGAACTTCAACCATGATAAAGTGCTGCGTGTTCCCCACTTCAAAACCCCCCTTCTCTCTGGGAGGGGAAGCGGCTGGGCGGGAGGGAAGGGGTGGGTGGGTAGGGGAGCTTGGGGCTGTGCCAGCAGCCTCCGGGGAAGGCTGTTTCAACCGGGTGGGTGACTGGATCCGAGGGAAAGGTAGCATGGGGTGCTGGTGGACTGTCAACAGCCGGGCCTCCAGGGGCTTCCTCGAAACGCGAGTCGCTGGAGAGATGGACGCGTAGATGGAGCTGGAGGCCGAGTCCTCCGTGGAGTTGGAGGCGAGGCTGTGGGTGTCCTTCTCAGAGAGGCTTTGAGGGGCCATGAAGAACAGCCCCGACTGGGAAGATTCAGACGATCCCAAACTGGGTTTGTGCACTTGGTCGGAAGGATCTGGCCGTGACTGAGAGGAAGGAGCCGGAGGTGAGGCCCTAAAAGCTGGAAGTTCTTCATAGAAAGAGGAGACATCATCCTAAACAGAGGAAAGAACATTCAGACGTGGCCACAAGAGCAGGGGTGGCAGGGGCAGCTTGTTTCAGGCTGAGGGCCCTCCTTCCGTTCTGAGGGAGAGGTCAGGGGTGGATATTCCAACGGAGGGAAGGTCCCAGACAGAAACAAGCATGGATTCAGTTGAATATGAACTACTCCGATGGAGGAAGGTCGTACAACTGTGCTACATATTTAAGCGCCAGCCAACAAGTGACCGACTCTGAATTTAGTCACTGCTTAAAGACGTAGCATGAAGAATCCCTAGCACTGATGATGTTACTTAGTGTGGCAATGAAACGTCTACAAGAAAACCACCAAGCTCCTCCTCCTTCTCCTCCTCCCACTACCTTCTAGCACTGATGATGTAACCTAGTTGGGTAGTAAAAGATCTGCAAGAAAACCACCAGGCTCAGAGAGCACCAAGGACCCCACAGTCCTCCTCCTTCTACCCTCTACCCATTACCTTTTAGCACTGATGATG